GTATTCCACCTCCCAAGATTGTTGTCATGTCCCCCTCAATCATCTCCTTATTCACATTACAATTTTTCCATCTCATTTTTCTCCAGGAGAACAAATAAATTCCTAGGCAGGCAATACTATTCCTTTTATGAAATTCAGCTAACATTAGATCTATTGTATTCACTTCCTTTCAATCTATCTTATCAAATAAATTTGATTGGAGTCCTACACTACACTAAGATGTAGTCAGTGTCACAAATTGTTTCTTTATATAGCTTTTTACTGTTATTATGTGATTAATGTAGTCAGTGTCACAAATTGTTTATATAGCTTTTTACTGTTATTATGTGATTTAAAACAGGCCTTAAAAACTGCCTGAGACAAGACAGCTCTGTCAAAAAAAAAAAAATTATGGAAGCTGCAGAACAAAAGAATCCATTTAAGTGTGCATTTCAGTGTGCATTTACCTATATAACAAATTAATTTGACTTTTGTCTATATCAAGTAGAGCATTCACAGCAGGTGGCAGCATTACTGTGAAACTACATCTTTTGATGTGAAAACAAGGGGAAAAGGTTTGATGCTATAGTAACACCAGCAAAATAAAATGGTGAAGTCACAGGAATTTATGTAAACAAACAGGACACTAGAGCTGCAGCCGGACTTCCAGACTGAGCAATGAAGCTGGAACACTCTCTCAGATTTTCTTATGTTTGCAAAAAGTTGTATACCACAATCATAAGAATATTATTTTTTTCCAGAAGTGTGTGTTTTTGATCAACTACAAGATAGATCCAGGTGCATCCCTGCAGAGGGTCCAGCTGACTCAAGTCCTCTGCATTTTCCCTTTCTCTGCTGGGCATACAAGTTCTCCTGAAATCACTCTATTCCATACATTCACACACCAGGGATCAGGCACAAACCCAACAAAGACTTGTAGGTGCCTACTTCACATTTCAGTTGCCTCACTGGGATTTAGGAACCTAAACACATTTTAATGAGTACTCCATTCAAGTAAGGATGGAGTAAATTCTCCTAACAGTGGTGAAGGGCAAATAAAGTACTTTAGGTAATTACGGTCCAGTCAGCCTAACATCAATATTTGAAAAGAGACAAATTAGTAAGCAAGCAATAAATCAAGTACTCTGTAAACACCTTGAAGAAAATAAGATGATAACAAAGAGCCAACAGATTTGTCAGGAACAATTAATGTCAAATCAATAGAATTGCTTTCAAAACAGGTGATCTAGTGTACAAGAGGACAGGTCGCTGCAATGAACAAACAACAGAAATACAGACTAGATGATGGTGCACTAATTTCAGGTCACAGAGGTTGAAAGAAAAGATTTGATTTATTATTGGTAAAAATGGGAACACATTTCAGGAAGCCATAGAGGTCTTGTTATATTCAATATTTTCATGAACTATGATATTTTGTAGTTGTTTAAAATTTGCAGATGACACGAAATTGACAGGTATTGTTCAGCTCCCAACTCATTTCTACCTAGTGCAAATCTATTCTGCTCAATCCAGTTGGTGTTGTCTAGCAGTGTCTTCTGAATATTCTGGTATATATTATTCAATGTAATCAAGCATTGGATAATGATTGTATGATAAGACAGAATTAATCAGCTGGACTCTTCAGGACTCAGTTCAAAAACTGGTATGTAGTTATGAAAGTTATCAAAACTAAGTTCCTCTTTGGTAGTCCCTCACAAGATTTCCAGGTAATTCCTCATGTTTTGTCCCTTCTGTTTTCTCAACAGAAGCATGGCTTTTATTAACCAGTGCAATCCTCTCAAAAAACATTATTTCAAATTGCAAGTGATATTAAAAGTTCAAGAATTCCCTTCCAGACTACATGAAATATTGTGGATGCCCCCTCCCTGGAAGTGTCCAAGGCCAGGTTGGATGAGGCTTTGAGCAGCCTGGTCTAGTGGAAGGTGTCCCTGCTGATGGCAGGGGGGCTGGAACTAGATGATCTTTAAGGTCCCTTCCAACCCAAACCATTCTATGATTCTATGGAATTGATTTTTTCTGATGTCAGCTATACTCCTATATCCAAGGCCAAAATTCAACACTACTCTGTAAATTATCTAGCATTGCAGAATGCTGCAAAACAACAAAAGCACTAAATTGAGACTGATGTTTCAAGTAGGATGCAAAGCACCCACTAAGATCTGCTCTCCAAATACTACTAGCTGCAGTTCTACCTCTTTCATACTACATATCATAATAAACAGAAATTTATTTTGTTGAAACTTTATTTTCAGCATCATTATCTTCTTGCTCTGAACACTGAAACTCAGCTCAGACATTGCCAAGCACAGTTTATTACAAGGGCCAAAAAATACCTTGCTTCAGAGGAAGAAGCCAGAAATGTTCCCACCATCAGCAGTTAAAAAAGAATTCTTGTGAAACTACAATGTACGTATTGTATGCATTGTATATTGGTGGTTTAGCATAGTTTAATTTTTAAGATAATGTTATTAAAATGCTATAGAGTTTGTTGTAAGTTCACAAGAGAGAAGCAGCACAGCAAGCCTGTGCCATGGTATTCTCTTGCATAACAAGTACCTGTAAATGATCTGATCAAGTAGTCTTGGACATAAATGAGCCTGGATATAACCTTAAGATATACGCTACCTCATTAATCAATCTCAGTTACCCTCTGTTTTTTCAGAAATTCCCCTGTTTCAACTGATGCAGTACTTTTGCCCGAGCTTCCACAGATATTCTGTATGTTGCTGAACAGCTGTTACCTTTGCTTTACACAAGCTTTTCAATCATGGCAAGACAGTCCCTGAAAACTGATAAAGTTTGAAAAACTTGAGGAATCTTTATGTTATAATAAGGCCCAGTGATATGGGTTATCCCTGGTGCGGCAGACATGACAGCCAGTCCTACAGAGAAGCTGCTGACACAACATCCTCCTACCCCTAGGCAACAGGGTAAAGCACTTTTAATCAGTATATAAGAAACACTTCACCCTACTCACATGCAGTATCCTCACCTCTGCTGCAGAAGACATTTAGATTTAACATAATTCCATGGATTATCAATTGTTTCATCGGGTATAGAAATTCAGACATATATAGAGAATTATATATATAATAATTATGGAATTATAGAATAATTAGCATGTTGCTCTGCTGCTTTACAGTGCAATACTTTCATAAACAACTCACTGATCTCTTCAAAGACCCTGTAACTTCTTAAATTAAGAGCAAAACTAGGGTATTTGTATTTGACTTACTAATGTAATATTATATTGGCACATTTGGCTACATGCAGCCATGCTTTAGAATTGGGAAATTGTTTTGTACAGCTAGCAGCTCCTTATCAAGCTTTATTACAGTTTTATTATACTACTACACATCACCTTTAGGTAGCATGTGCCTGTGAACCTTACAGTATGGCTCATTTACCACCTCATTGTCCCAAAACAACTTCACAATTAAAACCAGAGTTGTCCCTCCTCATATAGGAAAGATATTAATTATCTCACAGCAGATATAGTATTTCTATCACTAAAACAGGTGGTAAAATAAACTGTGATAGAAATTAAGCTCCCAGAATATAGTCACAGATTGTGAGCAGGAAGTGCAGGTTTACATGGCTCTTAATTGGAAGCAGAAAAATAGATATGTGAAAGTCACAACATTTAACCTTGTATGAATTGCTTAGCATTTGCCCTAACACTCCTGCTTTCCAAGTGTTACCATCTGAGCAGGCATTAGGAATGGTGCTAGAAGTGCTGGAGCCCAGGATTTTCAGCTGCCATGAGCTTTCAGCCATCTCTGGAGGATGAGCCATTAGATTTAAATGTTCTGGGAGGGAAGAAATCAGTTTTTTTTGGATTTCAGCATCACCACAGGTCGCTTATTTCAGGCCCATTATTTTTTGGCAACTCGCAGTAATGACTGTATCTGTTACGCTAAATTACATTAATGTCCTACAATACTTACAATGAAAAAAGCAGTAATACAAACAACAGTAATATACAGATTTGATTATACTTTTTATTACAGATTACATTCAGACACTGTTGTCAGCAAGTATTACAGACATTTCAAAACCTAGTTATTTAGACCAGCCCTTTTCCAGCATTACCCCTTTCAATACTGAACCCATTAAGTCCTCACACTCTGTATATAGCTTTCTGCTACCTGGCACCTAGGCAGAACCTTGCTCATCCCTTCCACTTAGCAACACAGAAAAGGCAAGATGAGTTAAAATCCTTTTATAGGGGTTCAGTTAGGAAACATGTAGATCAGGGCCTCATCCACAAGTCAGGAAAATATCACTGAGCTCATGATCCACTTCCTATCATCATTGTGATCAAAGACTCAGATACAAATGGGAGAAGACTATGGGTCAAGTGATTTGCCCTAACAGCACAGCTCTTTATCTTTCCTGCAAACCCTGAAGGACCTCCACACCCCATACTGGAGGCATCACATTACTGACCAATATGGTGCTGTCTCTGGTAGCTTCTGATAGATCTAAGCTTTGTAACAGAGTGGGAGCATAAGTGTGTTCCCATAGATGTAATCAGATGTTCCTTGTACATCCTATTTTGTGGTTAGCCAGGTGCTCGTGGCATTTTGGATACATGATGAACAGGGTGTCCTCCATGATATAGTTTTAGGACAGGCACAGAAGAGAAGATGCTATCCTCAAATGCCTCCATATGCTACCATGGATCCACTCTCATCAAACAGTTGGCCTACCAGTTTTAAAGCAAACATACACTAATTATATTATTGGGGCTGAGAACATGACGCTCTTTGTTTCTGATACTTTTTAAACTGTGAGGCAAATTGTTTGAATAATGATTACTTGGCAGAAGCATAAATTCCTTCATGAAGTTTCTGTGGTCTAATCCTTCCTTAAGAGCAGTCAAAGCAGTCTGGCGGCAGAAACAGCTATTTAACTTGAGCATTAGAACTGCTGATTAAACTAAGCTCCAACATGTAAAAAAATAAGGTCTGCCATGTAAAAAAGAAATAATTACTTACCTGTAGAGTCTTGACTCAAAGTTTCTTGACTACTACTGCTGTAAGAAGGCACTGGAGTGATAGAAAGTGAAGCTGGGCAGGATAATGGATATGATAAGTCATTTTGTGTAGCAAAATATTGAAATACAGGAACATAGGCATCTTCAGAGAAGGTGAGAGGGAGGTGAAGGTTCCCATACACATATGGATTTTTCCAACGAAGCAGTCCGATTGCAAGAGGGCCAACAGCATCAGAACCTGACAACAAACATCAGAAATTAAAACCTGTGCCCTTTTACTCTAGCAGGTTATAATTTTGGAGAAGGAAGCTATAATAAGGTAATACCAATTTCTGTTTTGATCATTAAGTTAGCCTGCCCCTTGAAAAGGAATGCCATATTTTATTTTTGTCCACTGTCAGTAGTGCTGTTAAATGCTAGTGTAGCTCTGAAAGTATATTTTTAATACGTGTTCTGCTTGTACTCCTGACAGCATTTAAGATGAAATAAGCTATTACAATTCCAATATAAATCCACAGTTTGTTGTGGTTTTGCTTACACTGAGATGTCTGTGGGTCCTCACTCTCATCGTACAACCTGGAGGTTTCTCAGCAAGACTGGAAGACCAATGTTGATGTTTTTTTAAATCAACATCTTGCTGCCACAGGCCTGATCTCTGAGAGATTCAGCGCTCAGTGGAAACCACGAACTGGGTGACAGAGCCACTCCACTGTCTCCTCAGATCCTGCTCTGCTGCTAGATATGCAGGCTCTGCCTGGATACAATCCTCTGCTCTTGTGCTATAGTCCTTAAGAAATCTCTTACCTGTCAATCAACAGCTTAGAATTTTTATTAATTTATTGCAGATTTTCATTAAATTACTCTTTATTTCTGAAGACTTATGTTCTGTCTTACTAATAGCTCAACTGTATATGACATTGTGACAAAAACCAATAGGGTTTATGACAGTATGCCACAAGACTGGAGGAGAGCTGCCCTGTAGAGATCATTCTGCTGCAAGTAATATCACTTATCTTACTTTGATGGATTCTTTTTAAGGAAAACACAGACCATCTTGTTTTCTTTTTAAGTCTCAGGTTTGTGATATTTGCAAGACTGGCAGCATCCAAATACAAAATGTCCCATCCACAAAACTGGACTCTTAAATGCAGAGAAATGCTTCTAATCTGTGCTGGTCCTATAAGCACCCTCAAGCACTTATGGCAACACTCACTTCAGACTGCAAGTGCTGCTGCATCAAGCACTGAAATATGATGCACTAACTCTGACTTCAGATATGAACATGTCATGAATTCTTCTACAGAAAACAAAGTATTTAAAGGTTGGGCATGCCTGAATGGAACTCGTAGGCCATACTACTGGCTCATAAGTTCTGCAAGAGCAATCTGATACAATATTACAGTTTAGTTGCTCTAAACACAGTTCTGTCACATACTATAACTGAGCATCAATCAAATGCATATGAAGAGAGTGGCAGTTGTCTAAATGTAGATCCCTTACAAGGGAATAACAGAACAGATCTTTCAGAAGAGGAGCCTCTAAGAATTAGGAAATAAACATCTTTAAATAAGCCTGTGTGTATCAAGAGTTATTTGAGCTACTGCTAGCCAGACAGATATATACATCAAGGACTCTCAAGTGTGCCAACTCCAGATAAAGAGCTGGATAGCACTGCAGAAATTTCAGTGAACTGTAGTAAAACATTGCTCAATACTAGCCAGCATTGCAGTAGACACCATGTTTAACAACAAGCCCCCATCCTCACTACTTCTATCCCTTTCTTTACACAAACTTCAGTTCATGCTTTTTTGGAAACATAAGATTGCTTGATTTTCCTGTGCTTATTCCATAAAGCTTAACTGCTTTATCATGAATGCTCAGGAAAATGAGAGCCCTAATATATATTTGTGTATACGGGAGGTGAAACTTATGACTGTTTTCAACTGTTGATATAATAATGAAAAATCCATAAGCACTTCTAGCATCCTACTTAGTGTTCAGATTTTTTAAATAGGCTTGCAGTCACTCCCTTCTCCAATATCATTTCCAGTATACATTGATGTTCACTTTTACCAATAAAGAGTCATTCCCTAAACTCATCTGAAAGTACATGGAATTGATCATTTTTGGGGAAAAAAGCTGACACAGATATATCACATCTAAGAGGCTCTTAGTTGTCTTATTTATCTGTTCACCACAGCAAGGCCATTCTGCCTATACTAAAGCTTTCAGCTTCATTTTGAGCTTTGTCTGCAAGCGAGCATACGCTGCAGCTGTAAGTATATGACATACAGACTCTGAGACTGAAAAACTAAGCTACAGTATAGAAAGGTTACAAATAAAACTACTCAGAATTCTTGAGTGAAGGTAAGCTCTCCAAGTTTTTTACTTTGTTTAATCTCATTAGTCACATCAGTTAACAACAGCTTTCACCATAACCACTTTCTGCAGCCACATTAATATAATTGACTAATAAAAGTAATACATAAAGAAATGCATATATATTGTTGATACATATAAGTGTACCTAGATATGAGTGTGTGTGTGTATAAGAAGCTGAGACACTTGGAAAGCAAATGTAATAGTTTTAAATTACTAATTTGCAAAGCCATAACAGTAGTTTCTCTTGTGCTTGATGAAGTTTCAGAAAGCTTTTTTTTTTTTAAGACAGCATTAAAAAAAGGACTCTGAAGATATATCACTTTAAAAAAAAAATAAAAAGCTGCTTGAAAAAGTTGTCAGAGTTCAAAAACTTATCTTCCAAGGTAAATGCAACACCATGGATCATTGCAAAAGGCAAGGAACTGGCTAATCTTGCAGCAGTATGGACAGATGCACTTGACTGCATGATACATACACGGGCTGTTACTGACTGCTTTGCTTTACCAGCTGACGGCAAACCGACAGCTGAAACAGAAGAATGTATCCGAAGAAGAAACTAATGCAGCGATTACATATTTTTTATGTTGTGCCAAGAGTTTCATAATTATAACAGCAAAGGAAAGCAGTAACTGGCTCTCAACACAGCTTCTCAACAGCAGGGCAGGGAAAGGGTTGCTGAGACGTGCTGAAGGAGGCTGCTTAGCGGCATAACAGAGTTTGTGGCTGGGAACACAGGTACGCTTCTGAATCTGCGGACAATGGTCCTGCCGCAAGCTTAATGCTATTCCCAGGTGTGCAGACACAACTACACTTTGTGGAAGAACAAGCACATGCACCCTTTATTAACAATATGGAAATTAAATTAAATCGTGTATCCTGGAACTGTTTCTCCCAATGAAGAGGACTGAAAGGGGCTTGATAGTCCCTCAGAGCTTTGCAGATGCAATGCCCTGAGGAGTAAATCTTAAAGCTTGAAAATAGATGCAAACTTGGCTACCCCGGTCCCTCAGGTTTTCCTATAAGACAACCACTTTTTATGCATTCCCTTGATTATTACAGGTATTTCCTTTTCTCTCTGCAGTTTTCTGTGAAGCCATTGATTTGCATCTCTGAGTTTTCTCTCTGCTGTTCCTGGATTGCCCCCAGGCTTGTTCTCTCACAGATATCACTGTGCCCAAAAATTCTCCCTGAAAACCTAAAATTTTGTATATCTTCCTAAAGCAGTAATCCTCAAAAACAATCCCCTAATATTCCTCCTCCCCTACAAATGCAGTAATGCCATCCACCAACCACATAACTCAATAGCCTGCCCTGCAATATCATGAACCAAAACTATCCGAGAGAGATGAAAAAATAATTTATACCCTGTACCGTCCATGCACCTACCTGGTCTCCAGGCTGAGTTTGCTGCAGGGTGACAGCGAACCATCAGCTGTGCACTGTGCACCTGCAGACCCCTCCTGTGGCACCTCTTCTCCCCTCTGCTGCTCCCCATTCGGAACCTCTCACGCGTGCTCCTGCTGCTTCCTGGAGCCTGTATGGCACATGCTGGCCACATGCTATAAGCTCAGTCTTGTCATTTAAAACTTTCCCCCCCACACCCCCTCCCGTGCCTCCTCTCCTCTCTCACTTCTCCAGCTAGTCCTGATCCTAGCAATCAGGCACACCGTTCCCCTCCTGCAGCCAAGTTGGAGAAGGAGTTACCATCTCTTCACGTGGTGTGTGTGGCTACTGCTCCAGCTGGGCTGTTCCATAGGGAACCAAACTCCCTCAGAGAGGAGGGAGGGAAAAGTCAACAACATACTTGGGAAGATTTGCAGATATACAGAAGTGTTTGTTCAGCTAACACCTTCTTGGTGCAAAACCCTCTCTGAGCAATAGTGGTGAAGGATAACCATACACAGCCACCTCGCGTGGGGATGTAAGGCTGCTGCAGGATGGGCCAAATGCATCCACATGAAAGTTAGTACTTTAAAAAGAAGTGTATGTATGGAGAGCAAGCTCTTACATATTACATACTGCAACCAAACAAAGCTGAGTCCAAGAGACCCGGGTGACAAGTTTTAGCACTGCATTACCACCTGAGATGCTCTCCCATCTCACCTCCTGTTCAGGGCTGGAGGCAGAAAACCCTGGACCTGATGCCAAGTGCCTGCCATGGTGGGCAGGGAGAGGGTCAGGCCCCAGCTGATTCCTCTCCTCTGCTGAGGCCACGGGAAGGAGACCATGACCACCTGAGTCACGCACTCTGACACTTTCCTCCAAAAGCTGAAACCCAGCTGTGGGTGTTCAGCCTGAGGCTTGCTGGAAAATCCTAAAGACCCTTCCCAGACCATCCTACTGAACCCCTCTTCTGTGAGACCTCAGCATGCTGGGGAGGATCTGCCACTGCTGGTCACCACTGGACCAGGTAAGGCAGGACACCCCTTGTCTCATGGGGTAAAACTCCTCCAGCTTAGTAATAGCTCTAGTTTTGTCCCAGGAGGCGAATTTAAAGCTCTGCAATGTGGGGAAGGGGAGCAGAACAGGAGGACCATGCCTGGGAGCAGAGCTTGCCTTGCTGCCTGCTCAGCTTGCTTACAAACCTGACCTGAAATACTTCCTAGGGATACCTACTCTGGAAAATGTTCTCTATATTTCTGACCCTTCTAAGCAGTTAAAGGGGTTGAAACATCTCATTTCCTAATCTAGTTTCGGTCTTTGAAATAATTTGTTCTGAATAACCTTTGCATTTCTTTCCACTGGAAAGATACATTTTGGGAATAGATGACATATAGGGAACACAACAACAAAAATAACAGTAAACAGACCAACTGTACCAGTCTTTAAATAAAAAAACCTTATAAGTCTATATCAGCATTTTTTTAGTCTTGCATATTTCTGGTGTATATATATAGATATATATAGCCAAATGGGATTACAATAATTACTTTCAAGAAATTCTGTTCCAGCTAGGCATATTTGACATTTGCACACAGCATAAAACTGAAAGTGCATATGTGTGATTTTTTCAAAGTTTAGCTTAAGCAGAAAAGCAGCTTTTAGCTTTATGCTATCTGTATGTGCCCTAGTTCAAGCTTTTGAGCTTAACATCTTCTTGCTCAGCTTTCAAATACTGGTGTCAGCTTGTTGACTCACTAACACCTAACGAGATACAAAGAACAACTTGACCATGTTAGGTTAAAAGGGATTTCACTTGACTAGTTTCTTTTTTCCATCTTGGCAATCACTCTATCCTTTCCAGTTCGTGGAAAGGGAATTACCCTTTAGCTGCCTTTCATTTGGGTACATGCCCTCAAGGGTGAGACAGATTTCCCATGGTTGTCATTAATTGCTTCACATCTAGAATAGACAAGAACTGAAATTTACACAAACTTTAGGTAGAAAATAAACACGGCAATTTACATTTCCTCTACTAAAGATCCAAGTGCCATTTATGCTTATATTTAAGAAACAAATAAAAAAGTATTATTATTGTATACCCTGGACACATGCACCTTCTGACGTGTGACTGATTTCCTGTGGTTCACTTCAAGTCTACATATGCACATCCAAGGACAGAGTTTTGAGTTTGAACACAGAAGAGACACGCAGCAGACCATATGGCATATGGCAGAAGGGTATATTCTCACTGCCCAGCTTCAGTTAGCCGAGGTAGATGGCTGATCTCTATAAGTTTCTCTAATAAATGGAGAAAAATAAATGGAGATCCTTGGAGAAAACAAGGATCAGCTCCAGAGTAATCTGTAATAAGATCACAACTGTGGTCTGTGAATCATTCTTGATAAGAGCTTTTCTCTGTCTCCATTAAGTACAGATACAGCACAAAGGAACTAGCTACCTAATTAGCTACCTAATTCAAATGGCTAAATTAGCTTCCTGAAGATGGGAAGTGTAAACAATGACCCCAAGTATCCTTTTTTTTGATTCAGTCTCCTTCCAGTTTATGCTGGATTCAATAAGAACTGAAGAGCTTATTGCAGATAAATGATTCCACAAGTGCATTTGTCAGTTCTGTGAGAAGGAGCAGCACCAGTGTCCACCATTGCATCTTGTCCTCCTCTGCACAGGGGATGCACCAAGATCAGGACAGAGTGCAAATCATAAGCAGATGATGAAAATCATATGGGCCAACTATACAGCTCAAGGTAAAATACAATATCAAGGACAAGGTGTTTCTACAGGTCTCTGTAGAGCAGTGGGCAGAACATCTGGCAGAGCTAGAACAGTCAAAGGGTTCAAAAACTGCAAAAGGGTTCTTTGTCTTCTTACCTAAAGATTTTTATATTGCTTCTTATGGAAAGATAGAGTGTAAATAGCAGTTTTGGAAACATCTAGAAGAAAATAACAAGAAAAACTTCTGCTCTTCTTATACACAGAAGGATCTATGTCAGTAACAAAAGCCTTGATGTTCAGCTGATCAACTCACATTGGTTATCTGTCAGATGACTTCAGCTTGATTGAGAGCCCTTGGTGGGTCTTTCCATGTTAGTGCTATAGAGTAAGACTGTGACAGTTATCCGCTATATCAGTGGTGGGTTTGTCAGGGTGCATTTTTTTTTTATAGTCTATTTAACTACCCAAGATGTGGTAGGAGCACTGCAAATCCATGCTACAGGCCTACCATAGTGGAGTGGCTGGGGAGACTTTGAGCATACTGCATGTGAAAAAGATTCAATTTACAACAATAATTGATATCTACACTACAGACTGCAACTTCATTAAAAATCCCCACTGCAGAAAAAGCCCAGGAGAACAATCATTACAAACATCTTCACTGAAAATACTTAATGTGCAGCCTAATGAATTCCTTCTTACTCACATCCTACACATCTCACTGAGACACCAAAATTGCTGCCTAAGAGTCTCTAAAAGCCATTTACCCCCTCTCCTATGCTGGAGCTAAAATCCACTTAAGTTTCCAGCAGTGCAGGCAGTATGAAATATCCTCTGAATCCTGCTTACTCCCAAGTACTTTTCCCCTCACTGACCTATAGTCCCAAGGACAAACCCAGGCATTTTGCTAGAGCCCAGGCAGGAACATAGCTCTTTAATTCTTTGTCTGATCATCACTCCACCTGCAGTTCAAAGTCTTTTTTAAGCGTTTAACAGTAAAAAGCATTCTGCTAATTTTATAGCAATTTTCTCTTGGTCATGTTCTTACATGTGGCATATATTTGCTAGGGACATCCAAGTAAGGCCAGGCCACAGCACTGAAGGACAGGCTCTTATAAGAAGTATTCAGAGAATCTGGAACCTAAATGATTCAAGATGAGGAGTTATTAGTTGTCCTCTTTCCCAGTAGGGGGTAATAAATGTTTAAGTGATTTGTATTAATTAAAAAAAACTATTGGCAAAAGGTATTAGTATTTTAATGAAAAGACAAGTAGTTCAAGAAGAGAAAGGCTTACTGTGTTCTGTAGCCCATGCAGGAAGAAACCTTTAAATGCTTTGACATGTAAGAGTACTAAAATGCACAAGCTTAACAGCTTTTCTTCCCGTCAATAACTGTGATATTCTGACTGAATAAAAGTTAAATAAATCCTAAAAGCTTTACTTTTTACTATGGAAGTGGAGAATAAGTGGTTAGGCTTCACAGCAGCATGAAATTCACCCAGGTCTCTCTATTTATCTAAGTTTTCGTATCCAGAAAAAGGAGAACTGTGTTCAGAGAACAGCCTTGCTGCAAGTGCTGACAAATGGATAACACTGGGTTTGCTACAGACCTTGATAAAAAATAAATGAGAACATTGATCACAATCTATTTGTGAAATCTCACTCTGGACTAAATGGAAGTTATGAATGCAGCTCCCTAATTCAAACATTCCATCAACAGAAATTAAGAGTCAGATGCAAAGTGCCAGCTGCCTAAAATATATAACCTAATATCATCACACATTATTTAAATATCAGTTTAAATTTAACATTCTATTTAAAGCAAAGAAAAAAATTCTGCCTTGGCATAAATTCTCATGTACTTTGAACAATTGTCTTCAACTTTTTTCCCCCCTCTGCCCTCTTTTCATTGAGATCTGCTCTACCTTCATGTTCTTTAACCCAGTAGTGATAACTCCAAGGGTTTAAAAATATTAAAGAGTAAAAACCTAGAAAGTAATCTGACCTGTTTAAGCATTTTAAAATTGAGGGGCAAAAGTGTGTTGAGACACTTTTTTTTTTTTTTTAAGTAGCCTTCTTATTTTTGTACCTTTAAGGGAAGGTTAAAGTTACAATATCAATCGATTCTATGATTTTATCTAGAGAACAAGACTTACGAGGAGTTACTGAGGTTACTGGGGTTGTTTAGCCTGGAGAAAAGGAGGCTGAGGGCAGAACTTATCACTGTCTACAACTACCTGAAAAAAGGCTGAGGCAAGGCAGGTGTGTCTTTTCTCCCAGGTAACTAGTTATAGAACATGAAGAAATGGCCTCAAGTCGCTCCAAGGGAGGTACAGATTGGATGTCAGGAAAAAATTCTTCACTGAAAGGGTTCTCAGGCACTGGAAGGGGCTGCCTAGGGAGATGGCTGAGTCACCATCCCTGGAGGTGTCTCCTGATGTT